TAACAGCTAATGTACCGAGACAGAAACTGGGGACCTTGAGTTCTAATCCTGCTTTAAATCTTTGGGCTCTTAACCCTAGGAAAAAAATTGCATCCATGGCAAATTCTTTCACTGTTCGTTGCATTTTAAACTGGCCTTTCTCCTCACAGCGGTCCTCTGGGCCATGTACAATAAAATATGAAAACAACACATCAAAGTTAAAAATCTAAGAGGCAACTTAAAAGACTATTAAAAATAATTAAAAGATGAATGCGGGGGATGGGGGGGGGAACGACACCAATCAGCCCCTTGGTTGCATGCTCCTCTGGGCTCTCCACACAAGACCACAGAGCTTGGGGGCATATTCCACAGGGCGGGAATAATGTCAGAGAAAACTCTCTTCCTAGATCTTGCCAATTGGAATTCTTCAACTGACAGGCTCTGCAATCTGCTGGACTGTGTGGGGCAGATGTAATGGGACAAGACCAGGTGTTGGCTGCTGTGGGTTCGGGAAATCCTCTAGCTAAGGATCTGCCCAGTTTGGCGAACCCACAAATCTCACCCCTCGCTGGGCCCACCCATTCCTCCTCACCACTCCCAGGAGTCTCCAGGTGGCTCATTTTGGATGCCAGCTAAGTACAGGGCCCANAGTGGTACCATTAGTTGGTAAGTCCCCAGCACTTCAATAGTCGTAAAACCAGTCCAAACACATCTACAATTACTCTTTTGTTTTCTTTCATTTAATGTTTCCTTATCCATACAACTCAGCTCCATCTGGTGGTAGCACAAGGAAGAAACCTTGGGCGAGAATTAATTTAGGTGCTTGAGGGAGACATTTCTGCTTCAGTTGCCCAGACTCCACCCTGCAAAAGATTATGGGGTCGTTAAAAGAAGAAGAAGCAGATGATACAGGTAATCCTTGATTTACAACCATTTGTTTAGTGACTGTTACAATGGCACTGGAAAAAGCGAGTTATGATCGGTCGGTCCTTGCGCTTATGACTGTCACAGCATCCCCACAGTCATGGTGATCAAAATTCGGGTGCTTGTCAATCAACATGTATTTACAATGGTCACAGCATCCCTGGGTCACGTGGTTGCCATTTTACGACTTTCCCAGCTGGATTCCGACAAGCAAAGTCAATGGGGGAACTTGGATTCATTTCACATGACCCTGCAACCCTCATAAATATGAACCAGTTGCCAAGCAGCTGAATTTTGATCATGTATGGGGATGCTTCAATGGCAGTGTGACAAATGGTCGTAAGTCTGCCGTTGTAAGTTTGAATGGCCACTAAATGAACTTTGTAACTCTAAGTTGAGGACTTACTTTTATTAGATACCAGCCTTTGTAGCACCGCCTTCTGCAGTGGGAGTAAGAATGTGTCCGGTATTTGAGGGGCTGCCACAAAGAAGAGGGGTTCAACCAATTCCCCAAAGAATAGGTTGGTCTCCAAAGTTTCCATCCAGAAGACAGGACAATGGATGGAAACTAATCAAGGAAAGAAGCAACCTGGAATTAATGAGAAACTTCCTCACAGTGAAGACAATTAACCAGTGGAAGAACTTTCCTCTAGAAATTGTGGCTTTTTCATCACTGAAGGTTTTTAAGAAATGACTGGACAGCCACTTATCTGAAATGGTATATAGGGTCTCCTGTTTGAGCAGGGGGTTGGACTAGAAGACCTCCAAGGTCCCTTAGGTCCCTGGAAACAAGGACAGTCCCCCCCATGCCGTCACTCTGCTTAAAAACTAACTCCCACAACATTGTGAAATAATTTACTAAGGCTGTATTCCTGTTCTTCTTATCTTCCTTCCTAGTATATATTGCTTCCCACTTCTATAACCATGTTGCTTGTATCTTTTAATTTATATTGTTTTATTTACTAGTACGATTTAATAGCTTATTAGTAACTTTGACTATCCCTAAGCGTTGCATCTTTATTTATGCTTGATAAATGTATTTTATTCTCCTTTATGTACACCAGGGGTAGTCAACCTTTTTATACCTACCGCCCACTTTTGTATCTCTGTTAGCAGTAAAATTTTCTAACTGCCCA